GAGTCGTACAGCTGATATGGTATACTTTGTGTCTGTAGCACTGGAAAACTACTATATTTTGCAAAGATTCTAGAAAATTGCCACATTTTTACTTATAAAAGCTGTGGCTAAAGAGATGAAAGTATTAGCAAACATGTAAATCAATGTCAAACATTTCAATAACTAATACAATACAAGCAGTGGTGAAATCCATTTTTTTTACTACCAGTTCTGTGGGTGTGGCTTGGTGTGACTTGGTGGGTGTGGCTTGGTGTGCGTGGCAGGGGAAGGATACTGCAAATTCACCATTCCCTCCCCACTCCTGGGGGAAGGATATTGCAAAATCTCCATTCCCACCCCACTCTGGGGCCAGCCAGAGGTGGTATTTGCCGTTTTTTTGAACTATTCAAAATTTCCGCTACCGGTTCTCCAAACTGATCAGAATTTCCGCTACCAGTTCTCCAGAACCTGTCAGAACCTGCTGGATTTCACCCCTGAATACAAGCCAAGATAGATTCTCCAAGCCATACATGAGTAATTTTCCTTTGTGTATATGACAATGCATAATATACCTCACATCAAAGGGCATTTAAAAGATTTGGATGAATGTAGAAACAGGGAAGTAATAGTCCAATCGGTCATTATAGCTAGCAAAGGGAAGTAAGTTTTCTATTAATTTAGACTTCTAGCAAAATGATTGATTCTCAGTGTCTCACATGAGTCTAAATAACACAACAAAGGATTGCCTACACCAATTTTATTGTTTATTTTCTTAAAACCTGTCTGTATTTTTATAGACTTAAGGAAGAATATGGATGTATTTAATTAAAAAATAAACAAAAATAGTGTTAGAAAAATGTAATATATGAACACCATCTTTTCTTTTAGACTATTTAAACATTAATTCATTGCACTTCAGAATGGAGGCATAGTGCAGCATGAAAGGCTTTAGCAATAGCACTTCAATAACTAAGGAGGACTGGTTCTGGTTCTGGTTCTGGATGGCTCCTCTGCTAGACTGGGAAGTTGGGAAACATCTTAGAAGAAAACAACACAAATGACTCCCTTAATGCTGTCAAGAAACTGCTGGAGAAAGACTCAAGGGATTCTTTTTATGGCATGGAAGAAAATGCAGAGAGACAATTTAATCAAGAATCCATCACTTTCGGATTACAGTTCTATAATGCCAGGCATGACTCCCATTGGTTCCAATTTGGTTTAATGTTTAGCAATAGAAAATTGCTATAAACAGGTAAGTGCTTGAGCTGGAGAACAACTGCTATAGAAATGCTACCACAGCAGTTTATGACACTGTAGAAATGTAAATTCAATCCAGAACAAGGTTGAACAAAAGTATGTATCTCACAAGTAAAGAGGTATGCTGTGATGACTTTGTAAACCCCTTCTGTGGACACCCCTGTCTAAAACAGTTTATTTATTTTACAGATGGTCTGCATTCAAAATCCATAAGCCCTTTCTCAAATGTGAAATAATTCTTTGGAACTCAAGACATTTTGAATTTGAAATAGTTCAAATGTGCACACCAGTTCTTCACTATAGTAGCCATTTCCAGCCACAATGATCTCCAGTCTTCCCATTGTTAAATATTTGTAAATATATTATCACATGTATAATTACATAATAGTAATATTAGAGTATTTGAAGAGCTGGACATCAAGAACATCTGATCGAAGAATAGACACCTTTGTACTGTAGTGCTGGCATAAATTGTTTCATATATCATGGACAGCTAGAGTAACCAAGTGGTGCTGAATTGTGCAAAACCAGACACATCACTAGAAGCCCAAATCAAAAGATTACGTATGATTTACTTTGGCCATGTCATGCGTGCAAACTCATTGGGAAAGTCAATGACCCTAGGAATGATTAGTGGAACAAGAAGAAGGGGCAAGCAAAGAACATGCTGGCTTGATAACATCAAAACTGATACAAAGCTGAACATCCAACAACTGAAAGAAGTTGTGTTTCACACAGGGTAATATGGAGAGTGCTTGCCCATAAAGTCGCCAAGGGTCTTTTAACCACTGAATGGTTAAAATAATAACAAAATAGTATTTGTACAATAACTATGCTCAATGCAGTAGATTGCTGGGGGAAAGACTTCGACTGTAATTGTGTAAAAGCTTCGTGTGTAGATGAATTGAAAGATACTGTGTTTCTCCGAAAATAATATTTTTTTGAACCCTGAAATAAGTGCTTGGCCTTATTGCCATGCGCTCAAAAGCCCAATTGGGCTTATTATCAGGAGATGTCTTATTTTGGGGGAAACAGGGTAGTAAAATATACCATGTATTGTTTCATCTTGCATCTTTCTCAGTCTTTTGGAAAAGACAAATTTAAAAATTGTTAAGAGAGCAATTATACAAAGAGAATCTTTTTTTTTTTGAAAAAAAATAGTCTTACTACAAATCTTGTTATGACAATCAGTTTACATACTTAAATAAATGATAGGGCATAATTTTAAGGCTGAGAAAAAGAAGAAACAGGGCATCATTCATTGTCTCAGGATGACAGAATAAACAGTTTCCATACAGAGGCAAGCAACATGATTTCTCCCTTGAAAAATAGATCATCCATCATAGTGAAATTATAAAATTATATGTAATCAACCCTGACAATCAATGGGGTGCCAGATGCTGCAGCAGATTGTGCTCATATCTTATCCTCGTGTCTTATTTTCATTGTCCCCTTTGTTGTATTTAGCACACACAATTTATATACCCGCTTCTTACCTGCTGCACAGAAATTGAACCTGCTGCCTTTTAAAAAATAAAATAAAATATGTTGCAGACTTTCCCTGTGAGATCTCCAGGAATGTAGCAAAGTTCTACTTGATTAATAGGGTCAAGATCAAGAAAGCCTAGTGGTTGAGATATGGAGTTTGAACCAGGACACTTTCTTCTGAAATCTGCCATCACCCACAAACTCATTAGGTCTTAATTTGTTTATTTTAGTACTTCAGGTGGCTGACTTCCAAGGAGCAAGCATATTCACAGTCCAAATTGGCAAACTTTATTGCACAAGTCAAATGCAATATGGATGCTTGTTCTCTGAAGCTTGCTTCCGAATTGATCTATATCTATGACGTACATGTAGCTTCATTCTTTGTAAAGAGAACATCATTCAACATCCAAAATTCTGTGAAGTGAGAGCAGTTTGCTTTATTTTCTTTTCACTCCTACACTTTACAGGGGTCTCTGACAGAAACTGAAATATAGACATCTCTTTATTTTCTCTAGAGGAGAACCCTCTGAGACATCAAACTATATTGCAACATGCATGCTTAGCTTCCTCCTCTCTCTGACTTCAGACAAAGTGAATGTGTTGATATTAGCTTCCAACTGTTTAGCAGGGAAGTCGTTTGATAGCCAAATCATTATGTTAGCAGAGGGAGGCTAAATCCATCCCAGTCTGCTAAGTGATCAGTGCTGCCTGTTGGGATGAACAAAAATGTTTACCCACCTAATAAATCTTCTCATAAGCTGGGACGCCCCAGAGCTCAGCAGCAGAATGATGGCAATTTGGCCTGCTGAGAAGCTCATAGTTGCAAGAAGCTGTTAAATCTGAGGTGCCAGATCTCCCCTGACCTCCTTGTCAGTGTTGATCTCAAGAGGCTGCCTGTCAGCTTGGATGAATAATGGATGGCAAACATTGCGTTCTTACTCCACCACAAATCTTTTGCTGTTGTTGCCACAAAGTGCTTGTATGCATACTTCTAATCAGTTCGACAGGAACATGGTGAATGCATTCTTCTGCCAGCTGACTTTTGTAGGGTGGAAATTCTGCCCCCTACCCCCCAACTTCCAAAAGTAGTGTTGTCCAAATGAGCAACCTCAGCAACCTCACTTTATGAAAGAATAATAGGCAGATAAGAGACTATTTGCAAAGTCAGCTTGTAGGGAAAGAGAATTAAGAACATATGTGCAAGAACAGCTTTTACAGTGATGAAATCCATTAAGGAATTATGTACAACCAAAACTTTAGAAAGCTGGATACATTTTCTTTCTCAAGGATAATATCAGATTCTATTTGGCTTGGAAAACCCTGAGCCCTGACTCAGTAATGCTAGGATTTATAACATACTTCCATAAAGTTATTTATTGACTGAACGAAAACATTAAATAACCAAACTCAATATTTCCTCTGAAGATCCTTTTCCTTCCTGCAGCAGAGACTATCCTATCAATCCCAACCTGGAATTAGGTTGATTAATTTACTGTGAAAGTCATTTTCACTTTCCCCAGCTTCAATTTTACAGCTACCTCATAGAGTAGTGCAAAAATATATTCAGTTACTAATTCTTCCCACCCATTGCACGGTGTCGCTAACATTTGTAAAAGTACGCAAAAGTTTTTGTTCTGTTTTACATAAGAAATAAATTATGTGCTATTAACAATGGACAAACCAATCAAAATGTTATACTTGTAACTGTAACATGGAAAAGATGGATGCAGCATGTGTTTTCCATGGAATGGGGGGAAATGTAAATGATTTTTAGCATTTATCCATGACCTTTTTCATTAAAAAGAAAAATCCTGTAACAGAAAAACTATTGGGATTTGATCTGAGCAACTTCTTCAGCAGAGGTTTCTTTATTTTTCTGAGTCTATTCCAGATGATGCAGAATCTAGATACAGAATCTCTTTCCATATGGTCAAGTCCAATTGTAAAATTTGACCTTGTCATAATGCTAGCACACTGCCAATGAGAATGAATAATAGAACCAAGAATTTCCAGTGACAGCTAAGTTGGAATTTCTATCAACCAGTTACCTTGGCAGCTATTTAGGAAACATAATTTTGCTATGTTTATGATAGGATTTCAAAATTGGAGAAGGAAGAAATTCCACACTTAAGTTGATGTTTTCAACGAATTTGCTTATTTATGGTACACCAAACAGTTCCAAATGTATAGTGATTGTGTGCTATCAAATCAGTGTTAACTGCTAATGACCACATAGATTTTCTTCATTATGACTTATCTTCAACCTGGTCTTTTAGGTCTTCAAATGGAGCACTCATTGCCATTGTTGCTGGGTCCATCTACTTTAATTTCTCTAGGAAGGTAAGTCTTCACATAATATGTCCAAAGTAGGATAGTTTAAGTTGTTCAGTGAATTGGCTTTTCTCATTGACTTTGCTTGTCCAAAGGTCTCAAAAGGTGAATTAAGTGATCCAGGACACTGCAACCTTCATAAATACATGCCAGTTGCCAAGTGACTGAATTTTGTGACCATAGGGATGCTATAATGGTCATAAGTGAGAAAAATGGTCATGTCACTTTTTCAATGCTGTTTTAACTTTGGCCACTAAACAAATGGTTGAAAGTCAAGGACTACTTGTATTGCCTTTGTCGTTGTCAATAAAGTGATTATCTGCCTCCAGCATCTTCCTGTGCTATCTTCCAATATTGGTATCAGGTTTATGCCTTGGGTGACTCTGCTGGGAATGTATACTCTTGGCAAACACTCCCAATATTCTCAGCTCACCCCTCCCAGAAACACACCCACTATAATGAAGCAGCACAGCAGGACATTTGGAGTAAGCTGGGTTAGATAAACTTGTATAACATACTAACAAGCACCAATGCTGTAACTTGTATATTAAATAGATAAAAATGTCAACATTTGGTACTGGCCATACTTTCCCAGTTTGAAGACTTCCAGAAGTGGTTCAAGAATTGTTCACAGCATGTTGAGGCCATGCTGCCCAGGAATTCTGGAACCTGAACTGCCCTACAAGTAGAAGACACAAGGCTGAGGATCAGTGATATAGAGCACAATTTCTTTCTATCTGAGTGGAGTCAAAAATCCAGTAGTTTTCTTCAGAATTCCTTCTTTGTTTGTGTCTCTTCCCTTTCATCGTTATCTAATTTAAAGCCACATAACCCTACTTTTTGACTTGAGCATGCATCCCCTCTTCATTTACACTGCCCATGCTTTTTTTGATGCAGGAATGGATTTTTAAATGTTTAAATTATTCTTCTGAGGAAAAAAAAAAGAGTTTTAATTTTAAAATTGGTTACTTTGTATCTCTTTGATATGAAAATGCTTTTAATGTTTAAATGCCATTTCTCTGCATTTGAATTAATCAAAGCAAGGTGGGAGGGAAGAAACAGCCAAAAATAAACTTAATGGATTATATAAACCAAGAATGTGCTTGGATGTGTTTTTTTCCTCTCAAACTGAGGTTCGTACTTGGCTTTTTCAGTGACCTGCAGTACAAAATGTAGGCGGAGTCATGAGAAAAATTAATTTCAATTTCTTTTAATTTAAGTTTTAAATTACTTTACATTCAATGGCTGGTTCCAATTAATGGCAGGGTTGGGGTTGTACATAGTACATCTCTGATATACAGTAAGATAGAAAGCAAGAGACATTTCCTGACTGTGAGCTTTCATTCCCTGAATCTCTAGGGCTTTCTCTAACATGTAATGGTGCCTTCATGTGAAGTTTGGAAGGCATAAACCCATATTAAATGACCTTTCCACAGTCATTCTGCTTCCTAGTTCGGAATGAAAAAACAAATCCCTCTGCTCTACATAACTGAAATCACACTAAACTGGAGAGAAACTATGCCAAATGTCAGAACTTAATCAGAAATTCATTAGTAGAATGACTGGAAAATATGAAAGAAGGGAGTGAAAAAACGATGGAGGGAACATAGAAAATCCCCAACTATTGGTAAAAGTAGAAGCACTGAACACCAGAATGATGATTCTGAAAAGCAGAGATGAATTTACCGTATTTTTTGGAGTATAAAATGCTCCAGAGTATAAGATGCACATTAGTTTTTGTGGAGGAAAACAAGAAAAAAAAAATCTGCCTCTGCCTAGCAGCATCCATTGGTATTCATCTGGCTAGCGGTCTTGCAGCAAATAGCAAACAGCCTGGTCAGCTTCAGCACATTATTGTAGCCTGTTTCAGCACGAGCAGCAGATTGGCGGGTGGATCGGCCTCTTGGAATACCCGCAATCAGCTGTTCCAGATGGCAAGGATTGCCACAGACCATTGCCGCCTCTGTGCCTTGTGTTTTTGGCCTCTGTGCCTCATGTTTTTGGCCTCCGAATGCTCCATTTTAGACCTGTTCCAGGCTGTGGGGACCACCACAGCACATTGCCACTGACCACTGCCTCCGTGTGTCGCATCTTCGGCCCCCACACATTGCATTTTTGGCCTCCACACGCCCTGTTTTTGGCCTCTGTGCATCACATTTTCAGGCGGTTCCAGGCGCCGCCCCCCTGTCGCCTGGAACCGCCCAAAAACGCAATGCATGGAGACCAAAAATGGGCCATGTGGAGGCTGAAAATGCGATGCGCGGAGGTGGTGATCGGCAGCAATGTGCTGTGGTGATCCCCGCAGCCTGGAACGGGTCTAAAACAGAGCATTTGGAGGCCAAAAACGCAGAGCCCAGAGCCCAAAAATGCAACGCACAGCAGTGGCGATCCCAGCAACCTGGAACAGGCCTAAAACAGCATGCAAAGGCTGAAAATGCGACACACAGAAGCCGAAAATGGCTGAAGGGTGGGGGCCGGCAGGTGGGCGGGGCTACATTCGGTGTATAAGACACACCGTGTATAATTTTCACCCTCTTTTGGGGGTGGGAAGTGTGTCTTATACTCCGAAAAGTACGGTAATCTTTCCTAGATGACTCAGGGAATAGAATCCATGTTAGGGAAATGATTGGTTTCTCCTGAGTCCTACAGAAGACATTCCTTCTCTTGGGAGCTGTCAAATAATATCAGTAAGGATGGATTTGCAAAATTGATGTATTACACTGCCATTAACTCTGTAGATTGGCCTCTTGCTTTAAAATCAATAATGTTACCCTCCAAATTATTTTTTTATTGACTTATTCATAAGAATCACAATTCTTTTATTCTTCCATCATTTTGAAATGCTTCAAGGCTACCGTACTGTTAACAATAGCATTCAAATCTCATAACATGGTATGACTATTCCACATTTCCTTTGTTAATGAATTGTCTGTAGTAAGAAAAAAAAAGATGAAAGAAATTGCATGGACACACTTATAAGACACTGAAGATCATTGCCTGGAGTTCCTCACCATAAAATTCCACAAACATACCTTTAGTAAATTGAAACCTTGTGTTCAGGTGACAGAATGGACATGTTGATTAAAGCCAATTTGGCAGATATGTACTGTAGTTTGAGATTTTTTTTAAAAAAATGTGAATTGTCAGATCCATCTTAAGTCAGGATGGGCTGCTACTTTTAGAATTGGATCAGAAAAGGATAGATCACCTTATTTCATTGATTTGCAAACTAGTTTATGAATTTCTGCTCTGGGTAACAAAAGAAAAACAAATTAGTCTCACTAGAATACTGTTGGAACTTCTCTTGAGGGTACCTATCATATCCTGGCTTCCTCTCCCATTGTACTTTTATCAAATAATGGAGAGGCCTATCAGGTTCAGAAAAACCATCTTGGAGACATCATCTTATATTGCCCATGGGTGCTGTGGTCCACCAGCGGCCTGTGCGGATTGTAGCTGATCCTGACAACGAGGAGGCTGGTGTGGTGCTGCACCAGCAGCCTGTGCAGCTGGCACTTGAGTCAGACAATGAGGAGGCTGGAGAAGATGTGGTGCCAGAGGCAGGGATTCAGCCAGGACCTTCAGAAGCTCCAGAAGCTCCTTTAAGTGAAGAGGACGAAGAGGAGGAGCCTCTTCTCAATGCACAGGCACGCAGAACTGCCAAAAGGCAGGAGTGGCTCTTCAGGAGGAGGTCTCCTCGAGAGTAAGGCTTGGGGCTAATTGGCCACTTCCTTAGCCTATTTAAGGAGGAATGCTGACTGAAGCAATTTGTAGGGAACAACTTTAGTTCATTCTCCTTCGTGTCTGGATTCTTTGCAAATTGCTTCTGGGCTTTCTGCCAACCTTAGTAAGATTGTGATTACTTTATCTTTGGTTTCTTGTAGGCTGTTAAGAAAGTTTATTAACACCCTTTGTTTGAAAAGACTCAGTTATTTTAGTAAATTTAAGTTTTGTACAGACTTTGTGTGTGCTGTGTTCTTTGGGGTCCGTAGCTGGGGCAGAACAATGGGATTCCTTAAGGGATATCCCATAAATAATGATTTAAAATATTACTCAGATGCCAAACATAATCACATGATGATTTTCCCAGTGATTCAGAGCAATAATAAAAGTTCATTTAACTTCAGGAGTGGAGTTAATTATGTATATTTATTAGGCATATATAATGAGCTTTATGTAATGTACATATTGCTGCTCATCATAATTTAATGTATCTTTTGGCATAAGAGACTTAGGACAAATAATTTTTAGTTTAGCAAACTCGTAATGCATAGTGGCCATCATTTTAGATGAAGTGGAGATTGATCCATGTACGGCATCCATTAATTAAAATGTATTTATATTTAAAATACAATAAAAAGACCAGCAATACAATATAAAATTTTGGTATTTTTAAATATATAACTCAAGCTTGATATTTTATTTAATATTAAAATGAGTATATCATATAACTGTCTCAAACAAGAAATTAAAACTGGTGCTGAGTAAAACAGTATCAGTTATTACTTGTCAATGAGCAGTCCTTACATATGAACAAGCTATATTAGCTCTTCTATAGGAAGACCATTAAGAAGGGTTTGGTGATATGTACAACTGCAGCACCTGGCTGCAAGACAGCTTTTGTGATAATTTCATTCTCTCCCTTCATTTTAAGTAATGGGAAGATGCAATATAAATGTCATGAATTAATAAAGAACATCACAAGTGACAATGGAAAACTGACTATGAGAATGTAAGAGCTCTGCAAGACTGGGGAAAAAAATAACTTTAGTTAAGTCTTGAAATGGGCCAGAAATAAATTATTCCAGTTTCATGACAAGCAATCATTCTCTGACCTAATGGGAGAAAAAGACCTAGTTTGTCTTTAGAGTCTTAATTTGTTTTGTCTTAATTTGAAGAGTGTTACCAGCATCAGCTACAGTCTATGTAATATGATGGGGAGAGGGAGTGGATTTGATACTGTTCTCTCCATTGTCACAGAAACAAACTACTGTTAAATTTTTAATTCTTTAATTTAAAGTGTTGATTTCCGAGTAAGAAAATGTATTACAAGTGTACGGGGAGAGAATCTCCAATGAAGTGGAGCTTCTACTTCTAGCAAAAGTGATAGATGCTGTAATTACTCCAAGTTACAAAGGGGGAGGGAATGCATGTGCTTAGACTACTGTTAATAATGTTCCTGTACTTAAATTATGATTAGAATTGCATATACTCTTTATTCTCTTCTTGTATATCTGTGGTAAAAAGTGCTGGATAAAATAATAATTTACCTTGGGTATTGCAATCTTTATGTAAAAAGACTAGAATTATCACCAGGAAAATGGCTGTCTCCTGGAGACAAATTCACAGTTATATAAATGGTAATTCGTGTCATAGACTTCAGTAAATTGAATCCTAATTTAGTACATTCAGTCTGATGCAGAAGCTGAACTGAAAAGTGGTAAATGGATTTTACGGAATCACTTGCTTTGAAAACCTGCAGGCCGACTTCAATGATTTCTGAAAATATTGTAATGAAAATGAAAATTGGCTACAGTGATTTGGGGTAAATCTATTCCTCAAAACATTTAATGGGCACATAATAAACTGGATCTGTCCCTTCTGGTACTGAGCTTGTGATTCTGCAATCCATGAAAGGCTTTTACTGAAGTCAGAAGAATAGGTTCCATAGACCGTGATACTCTTAATATTGATGTTCCAAATTTAGAGAGGTCAAAAAGGAAGACAGTTGGAAGTGAACTGGGAAAAAAAAATGGATCTACACAAAATCCATGCCTAAACTAGCAGCAAACTACCCCAATCCTAGTAAACCAGCCCTACCATAGTATGAGAAAAAAAATCTAGGAGAGCCACAGGTCCTGTTCTTAGAGGCATGTCTTCCAGACTGCTTGGTAGTGAGTTGGGAAAAGCCTTCTCCATGGTGCTGCTTGTCCTGGGCAATAACTTTCTTTCTACAGAACATTAGGACCTTACGCTGAGATATTATGGACACCTTTTGAAAACACATGTCCACAGTTTAATGCCACAGTTTTTTTTAAAAAAAAAAAGACTGGGGATGGTAGGATAGTTTGAAGATTCTTTCATGAAAAAGA